TAATCAGAAATGTGGCCATAACTGATCATTAAATGACAATTTAATAAAGTTATTTTTTAAATTAATTTAAATTCTAATCTAAACAGCATTTGACTCCAAACTGTGGGGGCAGATGGGGTGGCCAGGCACCCCTCTCTGCCCCTGCAAAGTGATGTCCTCACAGGTCAATTCTGTGACCCCAGCCAAGGTAATTATAAACTAACTAAACCAAATACTAAAAATTTGGTGTGAAAAAAATAGTTAACTGAAATGAAAATAAGAGCTATCTAGACCCTAACTGAAATTATATTGTGTACTCATAAAACTATACAGCAAATGTCATCAAATGTCTCAACACAACAAGCTAAACTAACAAAAAATTAAACTGATCCACTCTGTAAACTAACTGAAACTGAATTGAATACAAAAGTTTAGAACTAATGAAAAATACAAAACTATAATAACTCTAGTGTCAACTGGACATCAGATTTGTGTTTGCACATTTTTGCAACCAAGCTTTTTATGTGATTTCATACAAGTCTATGAAGGTTTGTAGCTCTGCGTGTTTATACAGTGAACGAGTGGGACCCAACAAAAACAGATTTACAAAAACAATGAAAAGTAAAAGTTATTCAAGAAGAGTTAGGCTTTCTTTAAATTAAGTAAAGGTAATTGACTCACTATATATTATAATTATAATAATAATAATAATACAGTATCTATGAAACTAATAGAAAGCTATCTAATGTCACAACTGTGTGATGGTATGTGTGTGTGAATATGTATGGATGGATATATATACTAAGATCAGAAACATCTATACTGGTACTTAACTATTGCTGCTGAGACCCTCATCCACGCTTTCATCACATCCAGAATTGACTATTGCAACAGCATCGTATATGGTACATCTTCCAAAGTCCTTAAAAAACTTCAGGACATCCAGAACTCTGCTGCTCGCCTGCTCACCCATACCCGCTCCCGTGACCACATCACCCCACTGGCTCCCTGTCCAACAACAGATCCAATTTAAAGTCCTTCTCCTCACTCACAAATACAACCAGGCCCCCTCCCACCTTGCAGACCTGCTCCATCGCCACACTCCTTCCGGAAGCCTCCGCTCTTCTGTTGCCAACCTCCTGACTCCACTACTGAGGACCAAGCATCGTACCTGGGGCGACAGAGCCTTCTCCATAGCTGCCCCCTCCCTCTGGAACTCTCTCCCCAAACTAATCCGAGACTGTACTGATCCATCCAACTTCATATCACTGATCAAAACTCACCTTTTCAGAACTGCTTTTAATGATTTTAACAATTAAATCTTGTTGAGTGTTGTAGATATATAATATATATAATATAATATAATTTCTTAGTGTGTTGTTTTTTATTACTTTTTTCTTTTCCTTTTTAACTTGTGAAGTGTCTGTGAGTTTCTTGAAAAGCGCTCTAAAAATTAAATGTGTTATTATTTATTATTATTATTATTATTATTATTATTATTATTATTATTAACTTTATTGTTTATGTGCACTGTGTTTTCTGTTTGGGTGAAGGATAACAAGTAAAAAGGTCAAAAACTGAGTAAAGATCTTTAAATAACAGTTAATATTGATACAATGAAGACAATAGAAGACTCTCATTTCAAACCTGCCCTCGATGTAGGCCCATATGTTAAATGCTCTGCACAGCATGCTTTCTGCTTGATAGTTGAGAACCAGGGATATCCAATGTTAGGTACATTATTGAGTAAATTATTTAATTTAGTAATTTGGAGTTACCATCATACAATTGTGGTGAATTGCATCAAAATAAATGAGGAAAAGCTGTAGCCTAATACTTCCATGAGGGAGACTAACAGTTTAAGCATATGCAAGTTGTTTTATTTTAATTGAAACTCATTTAACCAATAAGCTGCATATGAAACCAAACAAATGTTTCCTTCTTCAGCCATTATATCGGCTAATCAGTGTTTAGCAATTCCAACCTGAATCCCCTCATCAATATCTGCTCAGTACATCTGTGGATGTGCGTGTGAGCTTATGTGCGCACCGTATTGCATATGCGTGTTGACCCCCAGCAGCTGGGCTTTCCCCTCATCAGTATTCTGGGTGAAAAGGGGGTTGTAGGCTTTACTGGGCACAAAATGAAAAAGAACAGGCAACAAGCCTCTGGAAGTGTGTTCTCCCTTAATTGAAGTTCCCCTTTATCCAGACGCTGCACAATGTGTGCTTATGTCCCTGCAATATGTCTCCCCTGTCCAGCTCCACCATCCTCTTAATTGGGTCTTTCAGTCCCCTAATTAACTCTGTCAATGCAGGATTTGCTGAGCCAAGTTGGGACAAGTGCTCCTCTATTGATCAGTATCTGAAGCAGTTAACTTATCCATCTGTTACATGGCCATGGTGTGATAGAGTCGGCTGCATGACATTTAAATGTACAAAAGGGGAATGTGTAATATCATCACTGCCCTCGTGTTGTTAAGGACTTTTGGGTCTTTGATTCTGGCAATTTATGCACATCACTTAAGCAGTAAAGACTTCAGTGGATTCAGTTTTTACTATTTTATCTTAGATTGTGTTTTACTTAGTCTAACATGTAAAGAAAATACAGTCCTATGGTGGTTTATAAGGTGTCATTCTCCTCTGTATAAGAATCTATTGAATTCATTCCATCCACGTCTGTTATGGTTAATAATTTAAAAAAAAAATCTAAAATGCAGTGCTGGGAAGTAACTAAATACAGTTTATGGTATTTGCTCTTTACTCAAGTATTTCCATTTTATGCTACTTAATAATTCCACATCATATTTTAGAGGCAAATTTTTTTCAAATAAAAGCTTTATACAGCTAGTGTTGAACTTGTTTGTAATTCTAGTCCATAACCTGCCTTATTATGTCTTGTTTTGAGATCCAAACACACATTTGTAGACCATATTTAAACTACGTTTGACAGGTTGAGCCACTGCACTCGAAATTAAGATTATCAGGACTCAATTAACAGAAACAGAAATGTCTTTAAGATTAAGTTTTTTGTCGATGGAACTGCTCAACACTGAATAAAGTAGTTAAAACTCCAGCTTGACCAAGTACAACAAAAATGCTGATAATCCTGTGAAATATGACACAATGAAAAGGCTCATTTAGCAAAATGAGCACTTTTACTTTTTTTACATTAATTACATTTTACTGACAATACTTTTGTGCTTTTACTAGGATTCTGAATGCAGAATTTGTACTTGTAATAGAGTAATTTTACATTGTAGTATTATTACTGTTACTTAAAGAATCTAAATACTTCGCCCACCCCTGCTAAAATGAGACTTTTCCGCATCGCTGTGTTTAATTTTCAGACTTACTTGTGCACAACATTATGACTGAAACCAGTGCTGCCACTGCTGGTTAGCGTATGCTAAAGAGCACCATGATGACAGCAGCGGCTGACCATAATGGCACACAGAGGACCTGTCCATATTGTATGATTTAAGAAGCATATCCATTACACATCACACCCACACCCACACACACTCCAGACTGCTGATGCCTCACCGTGGGTTAACACCATCTGGTGCCGATCAGGAAACACCAGCTTTGCACAAGTCAGTGTCTCTAATCATCTACCTAGAGCAAAGGGAGGCCGATCCCCACTAATCTCCACAATGTGTTCTGCTTCCCATTCCCACCTGTGCCCAAATAAAGGGGGGCCTTGTGGGAGGACCCGGGGTCTCTGTGTCAAGGGACCAGGGACCAGGTGACGCTGCAGTGCCTGTCCCACACGACAGAAGCTCCACCGCTTGGTTTGGCTGGCAGCTGCCTCCCCCCACTGAGACATCCCACAGCTGACAATCCCCTAGTACTGACAGGGGCTCTTTTCAGTGTCAATGGCCTCATATATTAGAGCTAACCGCCTTTGTGGCGAGAGAGGGTGTCAGGCCTTTTGGCCCGACAGCGCTTGTTACCATGATGAAATGTAGATTGAATGGAGGGGGTCTGTGTCCCAGGCACGAGAGCTTGGACTCCCCCGGCCTTTGTGTCCCACGCATGGCCATTGTTCAAACCTATTCAGGGCTCTCAGGAGGAGGAGGTGGGGTGGGAGGGAGGTGGGTGAGAATGAGTTACATCTCTTCATTTCTCCCCTGATCTCCAACTCATCTGTCAGCCGTGGGAGGATAAGCATGTATTTTACACGCTTGATTTGTTGCTAAGTGAAGGCCAGCCATTGTTGGCTTGTTTGACTAAACCATGTTCATGGCAATCAGTGTGTATAATAGTTATGTTTGTGGTTTAGTGGATTAATCATTGTTATGAATCAGCTGGAACTATATTTTTTCACACAAATGCAACAAAATTTGATTGCAATCTGTGTTGATAGTGTGTGGAAATATTTACTACACATCTACAAGTTAAAGAAGAAAATCCTGCTTTTATAGAAACTTTCTTCAAACTGACCGCATTATGTCCTCCACTTTAGATTTGCCCTTTGTGTGCTTATATCCATGTTCTTATGAGACAGAGACAAATCGTTGGCCTAGAGCTAAGGACATGGCTATGTCCCTCGGCTGCGTCAGACAAAAGTGACGCGCCTTCCTGGCGCCTGTGTCGTCCTTTCATCTCCTACACCCTGTTGAGGTGAAGATGGATGGTCCCCTGGCTCAAGAACACCACATTCAGCCTCTGTGCTGGCGTATTGTCTCGTCCTTCTGTCACTCTTTGGCTCTTTAGAGCACTTTAGAGGTTAGGCTGTCCAAAGCTGGTTAGCAACCAATGACACCCTTTCCTAAATAATAATTTTTTGCACTGCTCTCCAGTCCTTTCAAGCACCAATAAAACCCTTTCTGTTTAGTGAAAGAGGATGCTTTGATTGTTTTCATAAAGTTGCTGTGTATTTCTATGTATGTCTGAAATCACTTCGGAGATGTTGTAGCTGCATGTTAAAAGGCAATAATATGACAAAACTACCACAAAAAATAGTATATAGTATTGATTTAAAGATGAAATTCATGGAAAGAAGAAGGCAAACAAGAGTTATTATTATAACAAAAATTTTAATTTAGGAAAATAGAAATCCTGCACAATATGACACACCAGTTCCTTTTCTGACAGCGTTTCATCACCACAGATATCAGATAAATTACAGTGTTTGCGACTCTGAAAAAATCCCGGTGCATGTAGAATATTTCTGTATAAACGATGCAGATGAGACCAATGATAAAAAATAGCAGCAGTTTGCATTGTAGAAGATATATACAGTATGTACAAGTTCTGGCACCAGCCATCATTTTAGCAGTTCGTTTAACAATCTTCTGTGATCTTGGTTCACTACGTTGATCCAAACAGCAGAGGTCAGTTTTAAGAGAGTCCTGCTCACTTGGTCATAGACAGGCTGTGTAATGTGGAGGTGGGCAAAGGCTGGCAGAGTGAGCAGGGGCAGGGCATGCCCGGGAAGTGCCTGTAGGAGCCGGCCAGATGGAGGGGGTCCTTGAGAAGGCCCTGGACTGGAGCATGAAAACTCAGGTAGCTGGTGGATGGAGGGGAGTGCGGGGCTGTAGAAGCTGAATGATGCTGGAGAGCTGAAGGCGTGCTGCCCACCAGAGAGTGCAGAGATTGGGCCAGAGGATGTAGAGGGAGGTGGACAGTGGCGGCTGCTGGGGTAATAGTGGGGTGGGCAGCAGTGCGGCTCTGGGCGGCGGCACCTCCATAAACATCTCCCACCAACTTCTTCATCTCATCCAAGGAGCTGGACAGCATGAGGATGTAGTTGCGAGCTAACAGCAAGGTGGAGATTTTCGATAGCTTGCGGACTGAAGGTCCATGGGCGTAGGGCATGACCTCTCTCAGGCCATCCATCGCCTGGTTCAGATCATGCATCCTTTTCCTCTCCCGACTGTTGACTTTCAGTCTCAGGTCTTGCCCCTCTTCCTTGTCAGGGTCAGACCTGTTCTTGCTCTTACCGCCCCCGCCGCAGTGCTCCGTCCTGCCCTGGCCGGCCTCGCTGTCTGCTCTGTTTTCTCTGCAGTATGTCTGGAACATCTTGTTAGAGAAGAAGCTCCCAGCAGAGTCGTCCACCACCAGGTCTGGGGATGAGGAACGGCTGCAGGTGGAGCCAGCGTCGGAATCCATCTTGGTCAAAGTGGGGTACAAATTGAAAAATTGTCCAAAAATACTACCCTAAATGCTAGGAGCTTGAGTTTAAATCCTACGGATGCTTCTTATAGTTCTCTGCTTTGGAGTTCTTCCAGTTCCCTGTAGTGTCTCCACAGTCTCTCAGAGTTTGTGCTGTTCAGTCTGATGATCAGTTTGTCCACAGGAGTGAGTCTGTCTAAACTGTCACCCTCTGGGCCCACTGGGGTGTATTTATACGGCCGGCATAACAAAGGAACAATAAAGCCGCATAATGAGACACTTAGAGTCACAGCCAATTGCAGAAGGGACACAGTCTCCCCCCGCACCTCCTTCCTGCAGCCCCCACTTCACCTTCCCACACCCACATTTAACTCCCCCGACCCTGATGAACCCCCTACACATTAACCAAAACAGGGGTATGTTCACATGGTTTGTTAAGCTGTATACCCAGGATACTCACTTCCATGAACACTGAACAAAGATATGTTGCATGTGTGAAAGTAAAATTGTTCAAGCAAAGAAGTAGTAGAGTATTTCTCTTAGGTTCCAATATTGTTAACAAGGTTAATGTAATTATCCTGATATGTTTTCGATAGATATTTTTTGATCCATCGAGATACACTATAATACAGGTGCAACGTATACTCACCATATACAGACATTAAAAGTGAAGCAAAAGTGAGAGTTTGAACCATAGAGCTGCTTAAGAGTGAACCACATTTTTATTGCCCCTGTTCCATAACACCAGATATATGATGCCTTGAAGGCCCAATTTACATATGGTATCCATGAGACACTTCGGAGAAAGGTATGAAGCACCATATGAGGCGCTTAAACATGTAAAGAGCAGCTTTAATGGCGGACTAGCTACAATTCAACAAGGAGCTCAAGACAAAAGGGGTCAGATAAATTTGACTCGGCTCCCCAAACAGTCTGTGAAATCACATCACTATCACTGGAAGGGGGTCCTTCAGTTGGGGAGGAGGTAGTTAAAAAGATACTAAAGAGTGGGCACAGCATTGTCTTTACCTAATTCAACCGTAAAGCCACAAGCACTTTCTCAGGTTTCTTTCACAGTTGCTTTAAGTATCACACTCGTCTTTCTCTTGATATGAAATGGCAGCTGTCAGGAGCGTGAGGCAAACTTTAAAGGAACTGCATCTCAGATAGAGAAGTTTCCATTTATGCCATAGAAATTCCAACCAGGCTAAATGTCCAGCATGTATCTTGTTGATCTAATCTGGTGGCTGGATCAAGCTGACTCTTCAACATTTCTCTCTGCGGTGTTCAGAGGCTGGATTTCACTGCTTGGGCTCAGGAATTTCCTGCTGGCTTCTGCCAAGCAAAGCCTCCAGTGAGTCAGTACTAGAGGGCCAGCAGTTTGAAAATACAATAACACTCTGCTCATGTGTTACACCATCCTGGATGGTAAAAAATGATGTTCAAAACAGTATTGAACCTTGGATGCAGCATTGATTCTTGCCTGGAGCATAATAATTGCACAGCGATTATATAAGGTTTTATTCAGATCAAATGGAAGAAACATTTTAGAGGCGTCAGGGCTTGAATGTGTTGTTTCCATCATCTGTCTGTCAGCTCATGCTATTCTCTTCTTGGTGCAGGGGGTTTATATTTACCCAACATGTGACTAATAACCCACCCTTGACACCACTATCAACATTCCTTCCTTAAAAAATATTATTTACAAACTATTAAAGTAAACTATTACTCTGTATTGATTCAAAATTTGCAAGAGAAAAACAAAAAAAACATTGATATATTTTTCAAAACACAGCACACTCAAATCCCTTCTATCACATTATACTTAGAAATAACACAAATCAGTTTCAGAGTCAATCTGTGTTTAACTTTAACACATCCATCCATGAATTCAATGTCCCATTATTCTCCATGAAATTCTGTTATTTGAGAAAGAGGTGCTACAAAAATGGCTTCAAGACTAACTCCTCAATTAGCACTCGTAGGCTGAATGTATAGTGTAAGCTTGTATGTGTTCTCTTATATTCAAGAGAAGAGACCGGATGATTTCCATGTAATGTGCCGCAACTGGATCAATCTCTTTTGTGCATCTCATGGTACTTTTTTTTCTTTGTTCTATTTATGCGTTTCCTACATATCCTTTTCCACATAGACATGTAAAGAAATAAATCACACCCTTTGCGTTGTATGGAATAACTCCAGTTGTGTTGTTATATTGTGTGCCAGCCCAGTATGAATAACTCTGGTTTAATTCTGATGGACTCACAGAGACTCACAGTGGTCTGCACTGCTCGCTGTGGGTGCGTCCTGAAAGTAAGAAAGCCCTCTCAAACACCGACACACATGGACCCACAGAAAGTTAGTAGTGGGAATCAAGAGGATCCTCAGGACCCCCACCACAGTTCCATCAGGGGGCCCCGCAGGGTGCCTTGGCTCAGCCAACATTCAGTGATATTATAATTGGGGAACCTTGAGAGCCAACATGGGCCATTTATTTGGAGCATATGGATTTTCCCATCGTTAGGCTCGGAGCCAACATGGCTGCTGGACTATCCTCTGTTAATTGGGCCAAGTCCTAATTAACTGAGCTGGACACAAGGATCCGGATTTCATTCTTTCTCAGTGTTTCAGACCTTTTAATGGCTGGTTCTGTGCCATTGCTTCCATTGTGTTCTACACACTCTAAATACAAGAAAATTATCAATAATGTTTCTTTAATGGTCTTAATAAATAATATATAAATTGAGGAAATATGCACTAGGGCTACTAATTAACTGTACAAGATGTTGGATTAGTGAGATTGTCACTCATATCAACTGAATGGGAATACAACACATCAGTGAGAAATAGCTAAGAGCAGTAAAATCACTAGGAACACATATATGGATCATTGTATGGGGCTCTAGCTGAATAAAGGGAGTGTAATCAGTCCTTCTCTTACTCCATTACTATATGCATGAGCCAGATAAATCCCATTCTCCTGCTCATTCTTATTCTTATTCATGTGTTTACAGAGGCAACAGGCCACACAGAGAGACACAAGGATCTCTGAGCTTTGTATTTTACAAATGAAAGCGTAGCCACCCTCCATGTTTCCAAATAATCCTTCAATTTTTAACCCTGCATTAGTTTGACTTTCTTCTCTGGATGCCACCTTCCAGGACCTTTCATCCAATTCAAGAGCTGTGTGACAGACTTTTTTAGGCATTAGGGACCCCCTCTCTGCTGCCTCACTGGGTGCACTCCAATGAAAGTGCTCAGGTGACCAGAAAATGAGGGCATTATCACAGGCATATGCTTGTAGCAACAGAGGATCAGGCTAGATTAGGGCCTATCATGGCTCAATAAAGCACTAAGCTGAAGAACAAACCTGTGCTGTGTACCGTAAGGCTTCCTTCTCTCTCTGCTGTCATTGTTTAACAGGATCAGTGGCTAGATCTTCTATACACACACACACACACAGTGCTTTAATCTGGGCATGTGGTCGGGAGCAGATCCCATAGAGAAGGCACAGCAGCCTTTATTTACCACCATTTTTCTCAATGTCACTTGGATATCAAGGCTCTGAGATCAACATCATAGCGGGAGAAGAGGGAGCAGATATGTGGGATTGGTTTGGTTTGCTTCATCTATGGATTTAAACATTTCCCTCTGAGTAACAATGTCTGGGGATAGAGATATAAAATTGTTCCACAAAGTGTCTGAACGGGCCGACAAGTGTTTCTGAGAACGGGGAGTGCTGCCCTTTGTTATCTCTCACCACTGGGACAAACTGCTCGGTGATTTATTCATTTACACTGCCTGAAACAATTGCATTATCTCGGCCGCAACAAAAAGACACAAAGGCACTATGAAAATCCCCTAGGATGTTTATGAGTCACTAAAGAGTCCAATAACTTTCCCCTTCATCTTTAAGCGGCCACGGAGGGTTGCATGCTGTGGAGGGCTGCAGGGCGAGAAGAGTCAGGAGGGGGATCCAGGCCCAGGGAGAGATGCTGATTATTGGTAGGATAAAAGGAGTCCAGGCCCTCTCCTCTGGAGCTGAATGGGGCTCGGTCAGCAGGCTGTCCCATACACTGGCCTGCTCCATGCTGCTAGAACTTCATAAATTACCCCACAATTACCCCGGGGGGACGATGAGGGAGGAAAGACAGGCCAGAGGGGGAGAGAGTGAAAGGGGAAAAGAGCAGAACCGGTTACCAAGCAGACCGTCATCAGGAGGTGTAGGGCCCAGGTCCAGATGTTGGCCTTCAGGTTGCCAGGACCCAAATGATGGCAACCTCCTGAAGACTGTCACAGCTAAATGAGAAAGATTCACATCCTAAAGTGAGACTATTTCTTAAAAGAAGAAATAACACATTCAAATTCGTACGAAATAAAATGCATCAGCAGCTTATGGTGACTGATGTTAGCTTACATTACCGTATTTAACATGATCCTGAATCATCACTTGTTTTTAAAGGTTTATAGGATTATTTTAAGAGCAAGTGAAACACTCAGGTGCTGTGTGTGATATTATTCCCTCGTTCACTCATTAACTAGTCATGTTATAATGGTCACTCAATATTGAGCAGTAAATAGAGATTTCATAAAATGAATGTAGTGAACCACTGTTATAGTAAAGTGTGATTTCAGACACAGCTGGGCACACACATATGGTTTTATTTACGATACAGAAGAATCTCTTTGGCAAAATGGCAAAATGCACGACTGACCACTTGTGATGTATTTTACATTCAGCATTCAAGTGCCTGTTGTTTTAAAGGGTTGGTTCACCCAAATTCAGCAAAAACATTTCCATGAATGCACATTGTTCTGGTCTTATTTGTCCAAGTTCTGAGATTACTGTCTCTGCATCCACTTCAGTACATTGTAGATAAATATAATTTGATTTTAGGTAGTCACAGCATTGAAAACAACAGTGTCCAGTGTTAATTCGCATTACATGCTGCCAATAGTTTTCAGAGGGACAATTTTCAATGATATTTAGAATGAAAACAGTTCAAACATAGGTCTGTGAATCATCCAGAGTAAGGGGCACAATTTCTGGAGACATATGTTGCAGCTCAACTTTTTTAATGTTGTGTTTTTGGGGGTTTTTTTCAGAGCAGTGACCATCAAAATTAAATTCTATTTGTCTCAGTTATATTGGGGTGGAGACAGAAATTTCAAAACTTGGACAAATGAAACC